CTTACTTATAGCAATTTTGTGTAGAGTTTCCAAGGAGCTGCTGGTGAGTTAGAACTGCTGACCTTACAATTAGTAGTCCAGTGCTTATCCTACAGCACCAGGAAACTAAGACAAATTTCATAGTCCCTCCCCCACCTACTCATCTCCAGATCTCCCAGAAAAGTTGAGGAAATTGTCCAGTGCAGATCCTCTCTTGGCCCCTCTCATGACCATGACCACACACTTCTGAAGTTATGTGACCCAGACTTTCATGCCTCTGTTATTTGTTAAGTGCCATTGAGTTGGTTCTGACCCATAGTGAACCTGTATAGGGTTACCAAGGAGCAGCTGGTGAGCTTGAACTGCTGACCTTCCAGTCCAGTGCATTAACCCACAGCGCCTCACCAGGACCTCTATCACTATCTATTTTAGAAATGTTTCAATTATTCATTCCAATGAGTCAACTGCTTCTATTGTTTGAAAAGTAGAAGTTAAAATCTAAGTTTATTTGAGGTGTTATTCTATATGAATATAGGAAGAACATTCTGGTTCTAAACGCAACACAACAAAACAAATGGCTCAACATAGGCCAGTTACAATGAAACTTTTAAAGTGAAGAGGAGGGAATAGTACAGAAAACTCAACCATTAACTACTGTTTTGTTTTTGTTTTTTTTAAACTTTTTATTGTGAATTGAGTAGATGTTTACTGATCAGATTCATCAGTATATGAATCATGTACTTCATTTCAATGATTGCAATCCCCTACGTGTAACATCAGTTATTCTACTTCCTCCTTGTGATTCTTGTTTCCATTCAACTTTTGTTTCTAACCCTTCTGAATTTTGTCCTTAGGTAAATGCTGCCCTTTTCAACATGAATAGTGAACCATTCCATTAGCTACTCTCAGCATAACTGAATGAACCAGGCTTGTTCCCCTCTCCTCTTTACTGAAACCAACTGTGGCTTGGCTGACACCCTCTTCCACTCATTTGAACAAATCTTTAGCCCCCCATCCCCCTTTTGGGCTTAGAGAGCACAAGTTTCCATGACGATGAAGTACTTAATGGTTACTGACTTAGAATTAAAAGTAGACTTTGCAGTGTCTGGTGTTTTTATTATCTATTATACATAGTTATCTTAAGTTATGTATAGTGCTGCTATAACAGAATTAACACAAGTAAGTAGCTTTAATAAATAGAAATTTTCCCACAGCTTAAGAGAGTAGAAGTTCAAATTTAGGGCATGGTTTGAGAGCAAGGCTTTCTCTGTGCTGGCTCAGGGGGAAGGTTCTTGTCTCTTTTCAGCCTGGGTTCCTAGGTTACTTGGTGACTTTCATGTGGTCTGGTATCTATCTCCCCCATCTTTGCTTGATTATTCTGTGTCTAATCTGCTCTTCCATCTCTCAAAAAAGCGACTAGCTTCAGATATGACCCACATTGACATGGCCCCATTCCTCAGTGGGATTATATCAACAGGTTTTGTAGAATGAGGATTCGGAGCACATAATTTGGAGATGCATAATTCAACCCCTAACATCTGGGTATTTACATCTTTGTAGCTATGAGATTTCATAAAGTTAAGTTTAAGGAAGTAGAATCTTTTATTCAGTCATGAGATAATGGACTTGTTATTGTTTGACAATTAAAAAACAACAACTTAACAATGCTGTAAAATAGATTAGCAGTTTTAGGTGATAAACAAATTAATTTGTTAATAATTAATTAACTATTAACAAATTAATAAGGCTGTAGGCCAGATCAGTTTGGGATCAGGTTTTTTAGGCTCATGGGTAAGAGAAACCTCTTGAAGTCAATGTAAGTGTCTGTATCACACTGTGAAATGTGGCTCTGAGGATGAAAGTGTGGTCCTTGGTTAGAAGGAATGTTACCCAGTGGTACAAAGTGGTATAGTACTTCCCTGTCCCAGTTATTTTATACTATTTTAAGCATTTGCCTCTACTACTGGATATTCTGTTGTTAAGTGCCATCGACCCATAGCGACCCTGTATAGGGTTTCCGAGGAGCAGCTGGTGAGCTTGAATCACCGACCTTGCAGTTCAAATGGCTTTGCAGTCTGGCACATTAACCCACAGCACCACACCAGGACTCCTCAAGTGTGGCAACGATAGTGAGGTTGGCCCAGGATTGGGCAGTGTTTCGCTCTGCTGTGCATCAGGGCACTATGAGTCGACACTGACTCGATGGCACCTAACAACAACAACAACAACTGGGTATTCTAAACCAGATTTCTTATGCAATCTAAATCCTCAAAAATTTAGTTCAATATTCCTTATTGTTGTTGCTGTTGTGTCAGTTTCAACCCATAGCGACCCTCTGTTGGGTTTCCGAGAAGCAGCTGGTGAACTTGAACCATCAACCTTGCAATTCAAATGGCTTTGCAGTCTGGTGCATTAACCCATAGCACCACATGCAAGCATTGTTGTATTTTAGAGTTGAAATTTCTCCTTGCAAGAAGAGAAGAGGGTGGAGTAAAAGGACTTTGTCATCTAGTTCTTTTAAGACACAGAGGCATTGTCAGTGATGACCCTTCATTCAGTTGGATACTGAAGAAGCAGTGACTCTGGAAGGGGACTATTTGTATTGGAATACAGAGCTGAAACATAGAACTCGGCCCAGGTTAAGCACTCATCCCTCTCCTAACATGGTGTCAAGACACAGTCTTTTATTTCTCTGCTTTGGTTCTATATTCACTGATACACATGTGCTACAAATTCAAGTGGTCATGCTGTCCTCTTCATAGAGGACACCACCATGGTTACTTGGACTCAGAGAAGCCGTATATGAGGCTGAGTCTTCCACTGACAAGTGCTGTCTTGTGGAGGGTTCTGCAGAGATTTCTTCAACTCCTCACTTCCTGTACCACATATATTGGGCCTGCCTTCAACTTCCTCTTAACTTCTTGCCTCAGGATTGGAAAAAAGGACCTAAACCTATTCCACCATCTGGGAGGAAGTCCAATGTTCCTTCCTTTTTCACTTTCCTTCAGGATCAGAAGGCTCATGGGGATAAAAAGTGGCCTTCACTTTAAACCTTGAGGTAAATTTTTTCTGTCACCAATGGATGAGTAACAATAGTAGCTTTGAACATTTTCAGGGATACAGCAGTCTTGTCCATGGTCCCCTGAGCCAGAATACTAGACTTTTAACAAATTATCTCATGCTGCCGTGAATCCAGGACTTTCAGTAAGAAATGCCCTAAGTCAGTAAACATCTCTGACCAACTTGCTTGAGGGTTGTGATAACCCAAGTGAGTGATTGTCTTAATTTTCTCATTTTCCACTATGCTTATCACCTGCTTCTTTGGTTTATGAAGCTCTTGTTAGAGCCTTTACCCTCAAACCACTCATTTCCCAAAACAAACAAAAAACCCTCAACTGAACAAAGGCCAGATACAGTTAAGGAAGCTGACACAGTGGCGTGTGTTGAAGCCAGGGGCAAAGCCATATCCCAGGTACATACCATAGAAGGCTCATGAACACTGCTCTCATCCCAATGACTTTTTGTCAAATAAGTCTAGGGTAAAAAGGCTCCACGGAGTTCCTTAGTGCAGATGTTCCGGAGGCAGAACGTGTACAGGGGTCCTGCCTGCCTGCTTTTCCTCCTTAGATGCTAGAGCCAAGCAGCAGTACACCCAGTGTACCCTCGTGGCTGGGCTCCCAGTAGCAATCTGGATCTCCCTGGATGAGTCTTCTGCCTGCAGGTCTCATCAAGCTAAACTGGAAGCCTTGTCAGTGCTGCTCTGAGGGGAAGGAATTTGGGGGACAGTGTCCCTAGCAGTACCTATTCATGGGTTTCCACCAGCTGGGAGTAAAACAATAAAGGTAAGGGTGCTTTAGGGAGAGGTGTGAAGGTGGTCTTTCCTATTTTGGGGTTACTGAGATATCCACTCTTTTATGGAATAATGCTGACACTAAAAGATGATATTATTTAAAAATCCTTCCCAGAAATAGTCATTCACTGCATGTCAGATCTGTCGATGTTTTTAAATTCAACATCTCCTACACAAAGCTCTTCAGCAAGGAAGATGTTTGAAATTGGAGCCCCAGGCACAGGGCTGGTGGAAGAGAACTCTCATCAGTAAAATCTTCATGGGAACAGCTTTCCAAATACTATCAAGAAACGTGATGCTTTCAGTTGTGGTCTGTCCAAGCTGTCTGACTGCCATCTTCCCCAACCAAGAGCATATATAAATACATACTTCAATTTTAGTATTTGCTTCTTCACAGATTTCTGAAGCCTTTTGTGGAAAGCAATACAAACACTCACTATCTACAGTCTCAGGGAGACTTGATTAGGGTCAGTTCTGAGTCTGACTAATTCGGCATTCATGGTTAAAATCTGTCACTTGGTTGAGAACCGGCCTCTGATGACCTTCGCCATTGCTGAATTTCTCTCTTCAGATGAAGTAGTCAAGTTCTCAGGGTCAGCTCTAGGTCCCTTCAACTCCCTCATCTATTTGTCCAGAGCCAATGCAGCTGAGGTGCCTGGGCTTAGAGCCCTGCCTTGCTATTGTTCCTGCTCAGTGACCTAATATCTCTGGGCTCTGGATTGCCTGGGAAATGGCAGCAGAGCATCCTTGCTGCACAGGATTGGCCATGCCAGTTCTCGCTTCCTTGTTGCTTTCTCGAGATCCACAGGATAGGAAGTGTCTTGTAAATTAATTGCCCACACTCTACTTATGTCTACATCCTGAAGACAATGAACAACTCAAGAAGTAGCTGATGTTACTTTTTATTGAATAATATAAGAACAGAATAGGTGCAACACGAGCTGGGTGCATTTGGAAAACAACAAAAAGGAGCAAATTAGAGACACTTAGCTGTTCCAAAATCATTCAAGATGCCTTCACTTTTCTTCTGGTGCTGGCACACTAAGGGGACTTCACCAAGGCCTTGCCATGGCAGGACCATCAATCTAAATGCTAAGATGCCCAACAAGGGTAACTGTGCTCAAGGGGCATGGTAAGTGGTGGTCAGTGTTGCAACCTGCTATGCAGCCCTCTATGCACTCTGGCAGCTGGATTTGATCAAGGAGGTTGTCTCCAACCAAGGAACAGTATAAACCTGGAAAGAGCACATGGCTTTCTGCGAAGGGAAGAGAGGAAGGCAGTTAGTGAGGTTACAGTTAAGGGTAAAAACTCCCAACCATTAGATTCAGAGACAGGGTGAGGAGTAATAGTGGTGGGACGCTTGGTCCCATCCTCCTCTATGTCTATAGCACTCTGGAACACCCCCTCCCACCATCCCTCCCATTACTCTAAGTATAGGAGCTGAGTTTGAGGAATTCCACCTGCAATGCATCATCAAAGCCCTGTAAGTAGTGGGAGTTCACAGGTAGGGCATTTCTATAGCCCAGGGATGCAAGGTAGGGAAAGCATTCCCTCTACTTCTGACACCTGCATCAGTCCTATACATGCCCAAATGGAAACACCCACAGAATGGGATCCCTAGTCCAGACAACAACCCCTGAAAAAGGAAGGGAAGCCAAGAGGAAAATAAAGCTTTTCCCTAAGGCTGTGACCTCACAGGGACAATTCAAAGTCCACAGGAGAAGCTGGCATTTATTCAGTGAGTGGGGGCAGAGTCACAAGGCTTAGGCTGCTCACAGATCTCCAAATATCCCTTGATCTGCTCAGTCTGGTTACAGTATGAGCCAAGGGTGAAATTAAGTACAGCCTTTTCTCCCTCTGCAAGGGGCATCCGAATAGCTGCTACCTTATGTCCAGCAGGCAATAAAACAAATGCATGTAGGGTTTACCTAACAGTGCTCCAATTCCCAAGGCAGAATCCTCCCCTTATGAATTCAAGTTAATCAGAATCTCATATCACTCTTACATTTCTATGTATCCACATACATGTGCACCCATACTTATATGTATCCCACATGTGCATACATACACACTCAAAATCCCCACCACTCTCCTCTGCATAACTTGTCCCTTGCTCTGTTTAAGGCCCATACCTTTTTCAGCTGTGGCTGGTCATGGAAGGGACAAGTGGTCAAGTTGGGCTGAGACTTGGTACATGTGGTTCGTCCAAGTTCCACATCTAAGTAGTACTTCACTCCAGATACAATCTATGCAATTGGGAGAAGAGGGTTAGTTTTGGGCATTACATGCCAGTCTTGCATAGTTCTCTTACTGTTGTTGAGTTATTCCTAAGAATTCAAAATTATGTGTTACTTTGGGCTGGCATTCATGCACAGAAATTTCTGGTTCCCAGATAATTAAGTTCATGTAATAACATGTGTGGCATCAATAAGATGTTTCATGTAGCCAAACTGAAATGTGCAAGGGAAAAGTCAGGGACTAAGAGCCCATGAACTGGATTCATGGTCCAGTTAAAAACAAAACAAAACAAAACAAAACAAAAAGCAGTCTCAGGAACCTGCAGGGCATGTGACCTTTGTGTCACCAGCAAAGGTATATTTATGTTCTGTTAATGCTGACTAAGGAAGCAGAGACACTAAGTTGTTGTCATTGTTAGGTGACGATGAGTTGGTTTAGACTCATAGTGACCCTATGTACCATCCTTACAATGGTTACACTTAAGCCCATTGCTGCTGCCACTGTGCCATTCCATCTCATTGGGGGTCCTTCTCTTTTTCTCTTGGTAAAGTGACCCTCCACTTTGGTTTCTAAGGAACATTCTGGCTGTACTTCTTCCAGTACAGATTTGTTTGTTTTTCTGGTAGTCCATGGTATTTTTAATATTCTCCTCCATCATAACTCAAATACATCAATTCTTCTATGGCCTTCCTTATTCACTGTCCAACTTTCATATGTATATGAGGTTATTGAAAATACCATGACTTGTGTCAGGTGCATCTTAGTTCTCAAACTGACATCTTTGCTCTTCAGCACTTTAAAGAGGTCTTGCGCAGCAGCTTTGCCTAATGCATCTCCGTGCTTGAGAGCAAGTTTCAGAGTCTCATATGAACTCCATTTTTCTTTTTCTTCTTCATATTCTTAATAACCTTTTGCTTTCTTTCTGTATGATGCTCTTGATGGCCACTACTCTTCAGGCCTTCGGACATTAGTATCTAATGCATCAAAGCTGTTTTTGAGGTGACCTCTAAATTCAGGTGAGATATAGCCGAAGTCATATTTTGGTTCTTGTAGACTTTTTTTTGATTTTCTTTAGCTTTCATCTGGTGAGGTCTATGTGTATAGTCTACTTTTATGTTGTTTAAAAAAGGTATTTGTAATGAATAAGTTATTGGTCTTACAAAATTCGATCATGAGCTCTCCAGCATTTTTTCTATCACCAAAGCTATTATTTACTGATCCTTCTTCCTCTTTGTTTTCGACCTTTTTTTCCCATTCACCAGTAATTATCAATACATTCTGATTGCATGTTTTATCAACTTCAGACTGAAGAAGTTGGTAAAATTCTTCAATGTTATCATCACTGACTTTAGTGGTTGGTGTGTACATTTGAATAACAGTATTATTAACTGATTTTCCTTGTAGGCATGTGGATATTAACCTATTACAGATAGCATTATACTTTAAGATAGATCTTAAAATGTTCTTTTTGATGATGAATGTGATGTTATTCCTCTGTCACTCATGGCATAGTAAACCAAATGATTTTCAGATTCAGAATTGCCAATACCAGTCCATTTCAGCTTACTAATGAAGATTTGTGAGATGACATCAAGAATATCATAGAGGAAGAAAGCAAAAGGTTATTAAGAAGACAAGAAAAGACCAAACTGGATATCATAAGAGAGCCTGAAACTTGCCTTTCAGTGTAGAGATGCTAAAGAAAATGGAAGAAATGAGGTGGCAAAGAGCTGAATAGAAAATTTCAAAGGTCAGCTTGAGACAACAAAGGCAACTTTTATAATGAAATGTGCAAAGACCTGGAGTTAGAAAACCCAAAGGGAAGAACAGGCTCAGTACTGCTCAAGCTGAGGGAACTGAAGAAAAAATTCAAGCCTTAATCTGAAATACTGAAGGATTCTATGGGCAAAATGGAGTCCTGGTGTGGCGCTGTGGGCTAATGCGTCAGACTGCAAAGTTGTTTGAACTGCGAGGTTGGTGGTTTAAGCTCAGCTGCTCCTTGGAAACTCTATGGGTCGGAATCGACTCGACAGAACTTAACAACAACATGGGCAAAATATTAAATGACACAGGAAGCATCAAAAGAAGATGTAAGGAATATACAGAATCATTGTACAAAAAAGAAATGGTTGGCGTTCAACCATATCAAGAGGTAGCATATGATCAAGAGCCAATGATACTGGAGGGAGAAATACAAGGTCCACTGAAGGCACTGGCAAAGAACAAAGCTCCAGGGATTGATGGAATACTAATTGAAATCTTTCAACAAACTGATGCGGTAATGGAGGCACTTACTCATTTCTGCCAAGAAATTTGGAAGACAGCTACCTGGCCAACTGATTGGAAGAGATCCATATTTGTGCCCATTCCAAAAACAGGTGACCCAATGGAATGCATAAATCAGCAGACAGTATCATTAATATCACATCTAAGCAAAATTTTGCTAAAGATAATTCAATAATGGCTGCAATTATACACTGACAGAGATTCAAGCCAGATTAAGATAAGCACATAGAATGAAGGATATCACTGCAGACATTGATCTTGGCTGAAAGTAGAGAGTACCAGAAAGATGTTTACCTGTGCTTTATTGACTACACTAAAGCTTTCAATAGTGTGGATCATGACAAGCTATGGACAACATTGTGGAGAAAATGTATTCCAGAAATTATGAGGAATCTATACATAGACCAAAAGGCAGTTGTTTGAACAGAAGAAGAGATCACTGAATGGCTTAAAATTAAGAAAGGTGTGTGCTAGGGTTATATTCTTTTACCATACCTATTTTTGCTGAGCGAAAAATTCAAGAAGCTGTTTGAGATGAAGAAAAACATGGCATCAGGATTAGAGGAAGATTCATTAACAATCTGTGATATGCAGATTATACAACACTCACGGAAGCAGCAGTCAAGAAATCAAACGACATATTATTATATTAGGCAAATCTTCTGCACAAGACCTTTTTAAAGTGTTCAAGAGCAAAGATGTCAGTTTGAGGACAAAGGTGTGCCTGATACAAGCCATGGTATTTTCAGTAAGTTCATATGCATGCGAAAATTAGATAATGAATAAAGAAAATCATAGAAGAATTGATGCACTTGAGCTATGATGCAAGAGAAGAATATTAAAAGTACCAAAGGCTGTCAAACAAACAAACAAATCTGTATTAGAAGAAGTAAAGCCAGAATGCTCCTTAGAAGCCAGGGTGACCATACTTTATCGTTAATATTTAGGACATGTTGTCAGGAGGGACCAGTCCTTGGAGAAGGACGTCATGTTTGGTAAAGTGCAGTCAGCGAAAAAGTGGAAGACCCCCACCAAGATGGACTGGCACAGTGCCAGAAACAATGGGCTCAAAGATTGTGAGGTTGGCACAGAACTGGGTAGTGTTTTTTTCTGTTGCACATAAGGTTGCTAAGAGTAGATATCGACTCTATAACACCTAACAACAACACTATCTAGGTTGTTGATCTTTATGGGTTCCGTTTCATTTTTTATAACTTCCAATTTTCCTAGAGTCATACTTCATACAGTCCATGTTCCAATTATCAATGGATGTATACAGTTGTTTCTCCTAACTTTGAGTTGTGCCCCATAAGCAAATAAAGGTCCCGAAAGCTTCACTCCATTCGTGTCAGCAGTCAACTGTACTTTGAGGAGGCAGCTTTTCCCCAGTCGTATATTGAGTGCTTTTCAACCTGAAAGGCTGTTCTCCTGTCACTATATCTGACAATATTCTGGTGCATTTCATCATGTTTCAATATTCAATATTCTGGTGCTTTCTTACAGTGTTATACTGTTTTTCATAAAGTTTTCAGTGGCTTAACATTCAGAAGTTTTCCATCTCTCCTTCTTCCTAGTCTGTCTTAGTCTGGAAGTTCAGTTGAAACTGTCCACCATGGGTGACCAGTGGCATAGCTTCTAGCATCACAGGAACACACAAACCACTACAGTATGACAAACTACAGACAAATGGTGGATTTTAGGAAGACTGCTATTTAAACTAACTTCCAATTACTAGCATTTTGCCCAGAGAATCTCACTCCTCTAACAGAGATTTACTTTTTCCCTTACCTAACATGGGAAATTAAGGAGCTCTAGTAGAGTATTGCTACAATTTGGACTGCTAATCTCACGGTCAGCAGTTCGAAACTACCAGCTCCACCAGAGAAAGATGAGGCTTTCTGCTCCTGCAAAGATTTACAGCCTCGGAAACCCTATAAAGGTTAGCTATGACTTGGAACCGACTCCACATCACATAACCACCATCACTACCATCACAGAAAATTAGGTTTTCCATACATCAAGTCAGTAGGCTGGTTAACATTTCCCTTCAGCTATCTCTATTTTAAATTTTATTTTCAATGGAAATCTATTTTGCATACCTGTCTTCTTTTTACATTTGAAATTACAGTATACAACTGAACCCTCTCCTCATAACAGTTTATTTCACAGACAATCATGGTTTAAAATGTGTAAAAACACAGGTTAAGGAATCTGGGGGCCAGGGTTTTAGACACAGGTCACACAACTTCCCCTTTCCTCAGCTCCAGGATCAGGTTTTCTGTCTCTAAAATGAGGCACATTTGGGTCTGATGATCTATAAAGTCCATATTTCATTCTGTGTTAGTGCCATACTCAAGAAGATTAGCAGAGATCATCTAGTGAAATGGATGGTGTTGACATAGCTTCTAATTTTCAGTTTTAAGTGCTGGTGCTCCATGCAGTATTTCTCCTTCTGTGTTGTTACGCTCTGCACAACAAATGGGGTGCTGTTCCTTGGGTCTGAATTCTAGCCTTCCTTTAAGGACAGGCTCCAGTTCTAGAAGTCCTTCTTCTATGCTCCCCTCTCAAGCCCCCTGATCTGGTCACAAGCTTCACTACATAGCAAGCAGCAGAAGCAAGGGTCTGTCCTATGTGTCCCTATGGCACTGAACTCTTAAGGTTGCCACCTTGGGGGCTGAAAGTGTTTCACAGACAGAGGTTCCTCCCAGGGTCATGTAGACAGAAGCACCTTCCAGTGTCCTTTCTCCTGGAATCTCAACAGCAAGTTAAGATTCTTATGCAAGACAAGTCTCCAGAGTTAAGTCAGTGGTATTTGTTAGGCATCTCTGAGTGCTCTGGAGCAGAGAGGGGCCGAGCCTCAGGAGGGGTGATTGTTAGAGGTCACCAGGCACTCTGGGAACTCAGCTTCAAACATACCTCCATTGGAATCTAAATTTGAGCAAACACCAGATTAACCCAAATTGTGGAATAGTTTACAAAACAACTTGTACAAACAGGTTTGATTCTTCAAAAATACCAAAATTAGAAGGCAAAGACTGAGGAACAGTTTCAGATTAAAGGAGGCTGAAAATACAGGCAAGTGGATCAATATATTCATGATGAGGAGTGTGTTTTGCTACTACGGTGTTATTGAGACAATGAGAGAAATCTAAATATGATCTGCACATACGATAATTGTAGTAGCTATATGTGTTGACTTCCTGCTTTCAAAAATTGTATTGAGTTTATGCAAGAAGGCCTTTACTTTAGGACACATACACTGAATACTTGATCAGAAAAATAAACGAATATAGATATATATGCCTGTGCGCACATGTACATGTGGAGAGAGCCAGGTAAAGTTAACTGGTAAAATATCAACACTTAGAGGAACCCAAAGCTACAAGGATTCTCTGCACTATTTGCAACTGGTGTGAAAACCCAGAATTGTGTAAAAAAAAAAACAAAAAGCTTTAAGACATCATATAATGGCAGAATTAGACTGGGCAGTCCGATGTCTGGGCCTGTTTTTCCTGCTATCATGGTCAAAACATCCCTTTCACAAGAGGTGCTGAGGTCTGGGTAGGCAAGGTTCAGATCCTGTCCGTGAAGCCTGGGCCCCATGGATGCTTAAAATAGAAATAAAAGGGCTCCAGCCAGGAATGCCAAGCCCAGTTTGCAGAAAGGGCAGTAGTTACATCAGACTCAGTGACGCTGTAGATCCACCCGGGAAACTAAGTTGGGTGAGAAGTCGTAGGCATGTCCAAACGGGCTGTGGCCTATTACAGTCCAAAACCATGGGCACAGGCTGCAGTTTGGAGGTTGCTCTGCACCCCAGAGGCCGATTGGAGGGTGGCACCGAGTCAAGCGGGCACACCCGGGTTGGGTCTGGAGAAGAGGGGAGCTTCTGAAGGGGCCGGGCGTGAAAGGACACAAAGAGATGCCAAGGCCAGGGGTTGGGTGCTGGGACCAGAGACAAGGGCATTCCGGCGCGGCCAGGACGAGCAGGAACTCTGAAAGGGGTTAGGTCCGGAGGGTGAGCAGTATACTCCGGAGGAGCTGGGACAGGGACCCAGAAAGGAGTGACCCGAAGAGGGGGCAGTGGGGAGGATCCCAAAGTGGGGCAATCGGAGGGCTAAGAAGGAGCTGTAAGCGGTTAGCTGGTAGACGGTCTGGAGGTGAGTGGGCGGTGGCCACCAAATGGCTACGGCCCTGTCCAGCCCCGCCCGGGAACCGGCAGTAGCCGGGACCCGCGTTCCTGACCCTTAGAACTCAGGTCCCAGTCCTCCTTCAGGCCATAAGTCCACTGACGTACCTGCTTGCGAGCACGCACCAACTGCACCAAGCGACTGTGGAACTTGTCGTTGCTCGCTTTGTTGTATTCGCTAATAGCGAAGTCCAGGGCGCGCTGCACGCCCTGCTCGTTCTCGTCCGCGTCCATGATGCCGCCCATTAAGCGCGGGGGCCCGGCGTTTGCGGCGCCCGCCGGGCTCAATATCCCGGCGAGGGCTAGCGCGGCCAGCAGGAGCAGAGAGGCACGCAGGGGCACGGCCATGGCGGACTGGGGCAGTGGCGCACACTACGGTACTGTGTTAGCGTGCGAAAGAGGTGCCACCAGGTCTGCTAGTGTCAACTGGGTGCCGAAGCGCCTTTATGTGCCAGCCCTGCTCGTGGGCCGTCCTCCGCCGTCCGGCCGCCCCTCCCCTTTCCTTCCGGCCCTTCCCCTCTTCTCCCCGCCCCTCCC